CCCCCCCCCCCCCCCGGCTCTTAATGTATCACTAAATATATAATGTATACAAAGTATGTTCAATTTGCATTCATATCACTTCCATTTTATGTAAATAAATTGGACCTGAATAAATGTGAAGTACATTTATTTTTTTCTGTTCTTTTTTTTTTCAGGGAGTATTGCCATAATAGTGCCTCTAGTTCTTCTTGTATGCATTATCGCCGCTGTTGCAGTGGGACTCCTTATTTGCAAAAGATGTCGAAGGTAAACACATAAACAAATCTGTAATTAGCTGGATTAGATGTCTAATCAGAACATTACACATCTGATTTATTGATAATGCTGTAGAAAATCTCGTAAGCCAGCTGTGCTTCAGCATTTAACTGGTGTGCTAAATGTTCCTGTGAAAACTATACAAAGATAATACACATTTATCCCCTCACAGAGGTAAGCAGGTTCAGCGGCAGCCCATGGCGAATGGTGGCTTGAACGTGGAGATCGGGAATCCGTCCTATAACATGTACGAAGTTGACCATGACAATCACGTAGATGTGGGAAGCTTTCTTCATCCCAGCTTTACCCTTGACCCTCATAAGGTACTAAACATGACTTTATGGACTTAACTGACGAACTGTAAGTGGTTTTGACGTAAATTACCGTATTGGCCCGAATATGAGACGACCCTGATTATAAGACGACCCCCATTTTTCCAGATGTACCTTTTGGAAAAAGGCTTTTTAAAAACCAAATCAATTTTTTTCTCTGTAAAACACATTTTGTCTTCAATTATTCTCATATTGCATATTTTTCCTATTTTAGTTTTTGTTTTGAAAGTATGGTAAAAACTGGTCAAATGTACCAACAATCACATTTAAAAAATATACACTTTTTGATATACCATTAAAAAAAAAAAACAGGTAGCCCATCTGAATTAGGACATTCAGGCTATCCATCTAATAGTAGCCTACCAAAATCTTATTAACAGTAGAAGTTAAATCTTACTGTAGTCTTCAAATCTGGGTACTGTCTTACGTTTTAAAATCACAAAGGGAGGTTGGTCCCATCAGGCTAACGTGACAGTCACGACTCATGCAGCTGTAAGGTTTTCTTTTTCTTTAGTTTTTACTCGCAATCTTTACAACACGCATTACATTACGTATTTCATGGCACACTTGTATTTGGCGCCACCTATTGTTGTGGGTGTATTATTGACATGCCAAAGTCTAGACCCTGAATATAAGACGACCGCGTTTTTTCAGATGTATTTCCAAGAAAAAAACATCGTCTTATATTCGGGTCAATACGGTACGTAATTTGTTGGTCTTAACTTTTTTTTAGTCAATCTAATTGTGAATGACCATGTGTCAAAATCTGTGAAATGACAGTGCTTTCTCGTGAACATTGGTGTAAATTATTCATAAAACAATTCCCACATTCTTAAGTTCAAAATGGCAATTTATGTAAGAATAGTTCGCATAACATTTTTTCATAAATTTGTTCTGCTGGTAATTTATAAAGTTTTTTTTATTATTTCTATAATTTTTTTTTCTATACATATTTATTTCTATTAGTTTTAGTTTTAATGTGTCTAGAACGTTTTTAGTTGTAGTTATTTTTAGTAGCCTACGTCAACTTTAAGCGAAAATGTAAAATGAAACTAGCTGAAATAAAAGTGTACTTTTCTATATCTTATTTTCAGTTAATAATTACGTAAGTAATGAAATTGTGTTTTTTAAAAGTTAACAAAAATAGCTCAGATTTTTCCACATTCAAACGAATGAAAATAACAAATTTAGCAAAACAACAAATCATGAGATAGCTCAGATTCAGTATCCAGAAATGTCCTGAACTGTTCCATATGGTGTGAGGTTTTCTATGTGTCTAAAGTCTCCATGTGTTTTGCTTGGTTTAGTAAAACAGAACATTTTCTTTGTTCTCGTTTATTTATCCAGTGTCCCACAAGGACATTTAGTCTTATGGGACCGATTTCTTTCCCTCAAATCAATTGAGTTCGCAAAAGTCGAAAGGAATTGTTGCAATTTAGTTTGAAACTCTGGCTTTATATGTAATTTGGGTTCGAACCAGAATTCCCTAAATTATTTAGTCTATTTTATGGTTTTAATCTGCAAGTTTGTTTAAATATACAATGTTTTTAACGGTTTTAGTTTGTTTTTCAGGGCTGGTGTGTGAAGTCAAGCGACCCGCGCAATTTACCCCCTGTGCGCCCAATGACTGCACACACTTTACCCATCCAGAACGTTCCAAAGGAACTCATTCCAGGACAGGTGGATTCCAGAACTCTTTAATACGATGTGTTTTATGGTTATTAAGAAAATAAACCAAGCTAAAACATCATTGTATTTTTCCAGGCCATGAACTATTCAAACCCCATCTATTCAAAGATGACATACCATGACGGACAGCACTGTCGAAAACCAGTCATCAACCTCGACATGAGACGCGATTTACTCCCAAAGAGACTGGAAACGACAATTCGAGAAACGGCAGCGTAACCTAGCTTTTCCACAACCTGCTTTGTTTTTTTTATAACGATCTGTATAAAATGTATAAAAAAAATAAAAACTTTTTATGTCCAGTCAGGTTAAATCATCTCACTTTGCATTCCACATATATGTGCCGGTTTTCGTTTTAGTTTATTTCTGTTGCAACCAAAATATCTTTTTATAAATGACAAATGCCGTGTTTTTCTTTGCTTTGTGACTTTGTATATGCACTACACGAATACGAAAAAATGAAACGGACAAAGCTGCTCAATCTTAAAAGGCTTTATATACATTTAAAGATAATTTTATATAGGTTTATTTACCTACACACTATATATATATATATGTTTTGCTGTTGGTGAAACGATCGCCAATGCCTAGATATTCCCAAGTTGCCTCTTACATTTAGCAGTATTAGAAAAAAAGAGACACTTATTTAATAAATGCATCATATGCTCATCACAGATTTTATTTTTGATATCTCTCATTAATGTTTCTTGCATATGTTTATCTTTAAGTTGACCGGTGTTTCCAGGCGCTTCAAATATGCAGTCGAATCCGAAAGTGAAACCAACCCACGATGGTTTTTGCAACTGTACAACTTGAAAACATGTGATTTCATTTTCATATCGCAAATGTCTTTAAGCACCTAAAAGGACTGAAAATGGATTTTGTCACAATGTAGACTCACTTTCACTCACTGGTTGTGAAATTACACGCGCGGGACACTTGTAATGCCCTGTTTGAAGAAAAAAAAAACACATTCTCTGTGCAAATGTACACAAGAAGAAGTTTTATAATTTTATAGTTGATTTGTACGTCCGGTTTGCTTGTATTTTCTGGAAATGTATTAAATGTAGAACTTTTATACAAAACTATGTACACAGTATATTGGTCCGTCTTCACTTTGGGTTGAAGTGTTTTATAAGTATAAAATAAACTAGCTTGATATTGCACTGTGCAATCGTACAGGTTGCTGTTGTGTAAGGGGAAATGAAGGACATTTATTGGTTTAATACATATAGCTACACCTAATGTGATTTTGGACCAAGAACTATGAAATAAAATGGGTTTTCTTGCCATTTTCAATGCATTTAGTTGTTATTGCAATGTGTAGCGTAACTTAGTTGCATATGGCTTATTTATGTTGTGTGTAGAATAATTTTTATTTGCATCCTTGTTTAACAGGTCCACTATAATTTCCATTTCAGGAGAAACGGAGGACATTTCCTTACAACAGAAGGTAAGAGACGTATACAAATAGCCTCATCAAATTAACCGCTTTTACACTGGTGAAGATGCCGTTGCCAGAACAATTTGCGAAGGACCTGGAAAAACAGCTCAGAAAAACTCCAGGATTTGACACATTGCCATTTATCATTATATTAATCGGACTGGAACTGTTAATGGTTCGGGAAATTTCGTGCCTGTGTACACCAGGCCTTATCACAATACTGATCAGCTTCATCTTTCTTGGACCTGCTCTTCTGGCACCGACAGTGATGTTGTTCAATATAAGTGTTATCGGTTATCAGTGATATGTATATGTTATGTGTGACAAAGTGTTGATCTAAATAACTGCTAAAATGATTATTTGAACAAAATAATAGAACATAGAATCAGCCAAACATCTGGCCTCGTCTTCTGTCATGGCATGGAGATTTTCACATTTTTTGCTTAATACGTAACATGCCTGCTGCCAAATGTTCCATGAAGAAAAAAGAAGTGTGGTGAAAAGAGTGTCTGGTTACCCATTTCACAAATGGAAAACACATGCACACATATATAGAGCTCTGTGCAGCAGATTTTCGTAGTTGCAAACAAAGTGAATTCGAACTTGTTGCAGGTAGGCCGGTATTTATGATTTTATGGCATGATTCAGGAAAAGGCAAATATTAAGCAAGTCGATTTTGTCCTTATTTATGCACCACGGCTATTGGCTTGATTTGAAATGATTGTAATGTATTTTTATGCTCTCTGAAGTAGTCAAGTTAGCATGAGGGTGGTGAGAAAATACTTACATTATATTATATTATAATACTTAACGATAATGTCAAGGTAACCCTTTATAATAACTTTCATTCATAAATCGTTAACAAACATTATGTAATACTTAATGGATCAATGGTTCATATATACTCACATATCTAGAAACATGAAATAATGTGTTTGTAAGTGTTTACTAATAAATGTATTAAACATTACCTAATAATTAACATTTCATGTAAATTAAAATGCTTACAAATGCCATTAAACTTCTAATTCATATGATCATGCACATCTTGAATGATTTTAACAGATGTTATACAATGATTAAAATATTTTGTTAATGCACAACACCTTTGCTGCTGTTGAGGTGTGATACGGGTAGGGTTAGGGACAGGTTTGGTGGTATGGGTAGGTTTAAGGTTGGGTCAGGGGTCAATTTGATTGAATCGTTTTGCCTGATAGTAATCTGTTTATATTGCGTTGTTTTGATAAATGATAAATTAAGTATTTTCTTGAAGATTTCTCCCCCCCTCCTGTTGATGTATGACTCAAGGAATATTCTGTTTAATGATACACACTAGTATACTAATATAAGTGTTGAGATGATAAAAACATGTTTTGCACCCAAATTACAATGTGTGATATTTATTTACCAAGCATTTAGCTAAACCTAACTAACCACCCTTTACACAAACATTGTTAAAGTAGCTAAAAGTCCAGTGCCAATAATACTAAAAATGAGTAAATGTTTATAAACATTTACAAATGATGAATAGTCTCCACTTTAGATTGGGTACTGCAAAAACATGAATAAATGATTAATATATGTGAATATATATATATATATTAAGTAATGATTAGTTAAACATTACATAATGTTTGTTAATTTTTTATTAATGAAAGTTATTATAAAGTGTTACAAATGTCAATAATAACAATAAAATGAAGATATTGAAGGAAAGCAAAAGTTGGAAGGATATGTATGGAGTCAATATAAGGCCACATATATTCGCAAAATAATGCAAAAGAATCTATGAATGTTTGTGGCTTACCCTCCTTGTGAAGGGTGTCAATGATTGTCTTCTGGACAACTGTCTGATCAGCAGTCTTCCCCATGATTGTGTAGCCTAGTGAACCAAACTGAGAGGCCATTTTGAAGGCTCAGGAAACCTTTGCAGGTGTTTTGAGTTGATTAGCTGATTGGCATGTCACCATATTCTCATTTGTTGAGATAGTGAATTGGTGGGTTTTTGTTAAATGTGAGCCAAAATCATCACAATTAAAAGAACCAAAGACTTAAACTACTTCAGTCTGTGTGCATTGAATTTATTTAATACACGAGTTTCACAATTTGAGTTGAATTACTGAAATAAATGAACTTTTCCACGACATTCTAATTTATTGAGATGCACCTGTATTTCTATAACTACACACATGTAACAACCCTCAGGATGGTTTGAGTAAGTACAAATGTGTAAAATGGACGTGTACTTACACTGTGGTTACGTACTATGTACACATCTAGTTACTATGTAAGTACACAGGTATTAGGGACACTTAATATAAAGTGGGACCCAGCATTTAGATATACCTTTTTCATTTTTGTTGTGCTAAATGTTCCTTGCACCATTGATATTCAAAACATATTCATTCATTCTGCTGATATTAATAATATTTTTTTATATTCTTCATTAAAGGGCATCTGACCAGAATTTGTGCACTTGTGAACTGGACTACAGACTATAAGAGAGATAGAAGCAGCCACAATCATCTCAGAAGATGTCATTGCTACAGAAACAAAGAGAAATCCTGGAAACCTTTGCTGCCTTCGGCTCTGTTACACTGAGCGTTTTGTTATTTGGATTTATGGTTGTGATTAATCATACCTTCACGTGCCCGTGCAGATCTGATCAGAATACAACGCTAACAGTGTCCATCTTCATCGGACCTGCTTTTTTTGCCTTGGTTATAATGTTCCACATGTTAAGGCCTCTTCGATATGGATGGTTTCATTGCCCCAAAGGAGCATATGATGATAATCAGCAGAACTGGCCTAAAGCTCTCATATCCTGTCTGATTCCACCTGTAATGTGGATCTTCATGTTGTTACTTGATGGTGATTATGTTGCTTGTGCCATGACAAAATGGAACGGAGTTTATGTTTCTAATTTTTATCAAAACATGTCGTGGTGTAAACCTATCGAAGGATTGCGAAATGTGACAGAGTTACAAGATTTGACGCGCAAATATATTCATCAGTCTCAGGTAAATTGCATGAATTACATCTGACGTACAAAACACACAACATACATTCAACTATGTTTTTTTCTTCTTTCAGTATGCAGGTTATGTTGTGATCTCTGTCTTCAGTGCCTTGTCACTTGCTGTTGTGGGTATTCATGACTGCTGCATTAGTGGAAAATGTGACCGCTGCCCAAGTCGGCTGTTGTTATTCTGTGGACAAATAGAGAGACACAGTGAAGAAAATGACCAAGGACAGGACGATGTAGAGCTCTGCCCCACCTCCACCATCAGTACACACCCACTTGTTGTTATTTCAAAAAGAGAATAAACAGCTTAATTTTCTTAATTCTCTTTTTGCACGTATGCATGACTCTTCTCTTTATTATAGTAAGATGACAGCATTAAAAGCATTTAACAATTATTTAACATTTCGACATTTAATTATCAAGACATAATTAAGTTACAGTTCACAAGTTTTTGTCACAATAACCCAACAAAGCAGCACTATAACCATATGTCAACCATGTATAACATAGACAAATATATAAGGAGCATGGAATATGTTTTAAGAAACAATACTGCACAAATAAAGAAAGTAGACTGATTTCTGTGGTTGTTATGATTTTGTGGCATCTTGTTGCTTATCTGTTTTGTGTTTGTGAATTTATCTGCTGCTGGCAGTAAATAAGAAATATATCTGAAATATATCTTTCTGCTTTAAATGCAGAATGCATGGAGTAACCTACAACACACTCCCCCCACCCCCCACCCCCCACCCCCCTCTTTTTTTAGCTCCCTGATATTATTAGTCATTTTGAACGTGCCCTGGTCACCAGTGGTGGCACTGTTGTTTTTTTGTTTGTTTTTTGTGAACCATGAAATGTTTTGTACATTTTACTCTAATTTTGTACTTTTATTTTTATTTTATTTTTTTTTTTTGCCTGATAGTTCATGTAGAGTTAATAATAATGCTTAATGCGATTTAGTAAGACCAGCCATCGTGAAACTGATGGAAATGTCCAACAGGTGACTTGTAAGGAGAATGTAAGGGAAGCTTTGGTATTTTTTTTTATGATCAACATTTTTATTCAGATTTAGTTTCACATCAGAAACATATATCACAATTCACAGTTCTAGATAACTATGTACAAACAGATGCCATGAAGCTGTCCACTTGTACCAAAGGAGAAGAAGAAAAATGAGAGAAATACAATTCAGATATGCATAGCAGTACTGTCAACTTACCAGCCTATCTAGCAACATCACAGCAATATTTTTTTTTTTGCCTGATAGTTCATGTAGAGTTAATAATAATGCTTAATGCGATTTAGTAAGACCAGCCATCGTGAAACTGATGGAAATGTCCAACAGGTGACTTGTAAGGAGAATGTAAGGGAAGCTTTGGTATTTTTTTTTATGATCAACATTTTTATTCAGATTTAGTTTCACATCAGAAACATATATCACAATTCACAGTTCTAGATAACTATGTACAAACAGATGCCATGAAGCTGTCCACTTGTACCAAAGGAGAAGAAGAAAAATGAGAGAAATACAATTCAGATATGCATAGCAGTACTGTCAACTTACCAGCCTATCTAGCAACATCACAGCAATATTTGCCCAACTCCGAATAGTGTTGTCTTTTGTGCCGTTGAACCTGGCAGTGGTACCTTCCAGCAAGGCAATGTCTCTGAAGTATGATAGCCAGGTAGAAGTTGTGGGAATGGATGGTTCTATCCATAACTTCAAAATAGTCTTTTTGGCAGCAGTACTTGCAGCTGATAAGGTCCTTTTTTGATGAGCATTCAGCTGGAGAATGGAATTCGTCTAACAATAGAAAAAGCAGGGGATCTCGAGGAATATCCAAGTGCAGGAAATCCGAAAGAACAAAACATACACATTTCCAAAAAGGAACCAACACTGGGCATTCCCAAAACATATGCAAGTACGAACCAACTGTATATTTATTACATAAGCATTAGCATTAGCTTTCATCTTGTATAGTATACTGGGAGTGATACCTGTTGATACATTTATAATGAATCATCTGATGAGCAAGATTCTTAGAAGCAGTGAAACATCTGATCCATACCACGTCCCAATCAGGTTCAGCAAGACCTTCCCTTTCCCAGGAGTAGATAGCTGGAATATAAGTATATTGCAGTAAGCTTTGGTATTTTAATTCTTCATACCCAAGTTATATTTTACAGTGTTTTCAAACAGCATTTCAGTAACCACAAAAGTTTACAAATAAACTAAAGTATAGTTGGAGTTATTTATTTATTTAATGTATTTATTGTCCTGCGGAAACTAGCAGCTGTTCGAGCACTTTCAGTAACAGACAGTGCATCAACAAAGCATGTAAGTACATTGTTTATCACTTTATTAGCGATTTGCTAATAAGATTGTTTGGATTACAATCCAAAAAAAACATATTTTTAATATGACCATGTGTTTTTGTCATACATGATTTATTCGGTTTTACATAGTTTTGTGTGTTTTTATGTAACCTTTGCATCTTTGTCAGAAGTCAGAAACACTTCATCTAGTCTTCTAATTTAATGATATGAGTTTAAATTGAGTGTACATATCTGCTGTATGCTGTCATGATATGGGATAATGCTGTTTCTTTTCATTTTGTTGGACAAACACAATCTAATTTAGTTCTGATGAATTTCATTGAATTTAGCTCAATGGGGCATGTCTGAATTACTCCCAATCTAAAAGAATGAAGCTGACTTACATTCACATGAATGGTTTCCATTGTTCTTTTTCAATGTTCCTTGTCTCATTGTTTATGATTAATGACCATGTAAACAGTTAATAATAACGGTCCCAAATCGCTGTACATCCCAGCTAGATTTTTTTTGTTCTAAAAATGTTCTAAGAACATTACCATGGATTGTTCTAGCAATGTTTTTAGCGGGTAGTTTTATTTTTGTTCGCAGAACGTTCTCCTATAAGGTAGGATAACATTCTCTTCAAACATTCTAAAAATGTTTAGTGATAACATTGTTAGAACATCATTCCCCTAAAATTCTTACAATGTTTTTAGCGGGTAGTTTTATTTTTGTTCCCAGAACATTCTCTCAAAAGATATGATAACAACAATTCCGTAGCATTCTTATAAAGTTTTTAGTTTTAGTTTTATTCTTAGAACATTCTTCTAAAAGGTAGGATGACATTCTCTAAAAACACAGAAAAAGTTCTGTGATGACCTTCTATAAATGTTTAGTCACAACATTATTGGAACGTAGTTTTACAAACAGTAAATGCTCAGCATCACATGTTGAAGAACTCGGTAAAGTGCAGTGCATAATCAAGCGTCTGACTGTTGTTTGCTCAGAGTGCTCATCATTGTCTTTGCTTGTTGTGGTTCTTGCAGAAAAATAATACAGTCGTCTGTATTAATAGGTGTTCAACTGTTCTCCTCCAGTTTTCCAGCTGCTCTCCCAGTTAGCAGCACTGAGCTCTATTCTCTGTGAGCATGATAGAGTTCTTCCTCATGGCCTATAACAGAGGAGCATACAACAGTGTAAACAGAAAGAATACAAATACATATTACATCTTAAGATCACAAACAAAACTGAAAACTTTCTAAATTAGTCAGCCTAATTAGTATTCAGAAACTATGTAAAGACTAATTTATTGAAAGTATACATATAACACCTTAAGAGTATCTATATCAGTGGTTCTCAAACTTTTTTGGTCACGCCCCCCC